GATCGTGCGCACTGTGGGCACGTCGGGGGCCTGCTGCTGTTCAGGGCCTTGAGAATCCCGACCCAGGGCCGTCCTGGTGGGCGGCTGAGGACTGAGACTCAACCGCTGCTGTTTCTCTCCCGCCCCTGCAGGGTGAGGGCCCCCAGGCCGACAGCGTGCTGACCTCCGCCCCTGCCTCCCGGACCAGGCACCCCATGGGCCACCCTCTGCAGACCCTCAGCCGGCTCCCGCCGGGCGAGCTCAGCCCCGAGGCGGGTGGCGGGGTCCAGAAGCGGACTCTGCTCAGGCAGCTGATCGCCTACTTGGCCATGATAGCCCCCTCGCCCACCCCGGCGGGCCCACTCGCGCCTGATGACCTTCTGCGTGTGCCTTGGAGGAAACACGGGAAGCGGTTTTCGCCTTCAGAAGACCCCACCGAGCCCCTGGGCACTGGCGATGGTAAGTCAGCCCCACCCCCTCTGGGGTCGTTTGTTGTCAACTCCATCTTCCCAGCACCTGCTTCACTGTGTGTGTGTGTGGGGGGGGGGGAGGACGCCAGGCACCGGTGAGGAGGGCGCCTTCGGGTGCGCTTCCCCGTGTGGCTGGTGGAGGGAAGGTGGCCATGCCCATGCCGGATGGACCGGGTCGCGACACTGTTCCTGCTCACACCCCTGTCTGCGGTTTCATGGTTTCCTGACTTTACTGAAGAGGGTGAGGTGGGCGGGGCCCTGGCCAGCCCCAGCCCCACGTGGTGTGGGCCACACGGGCTCTGGAAGGTGGGCTACGGCTGCGTTTACTCCGTCACACGCCCCATCTCTGCTGTGGTCACACGCGCCCAGGTCACATGGTTAATGCGTATTTGTCCCCAAAGCCCCAGGTGAGACAGCGCCGCTCACAGCGCGATGCTGGCACTGCGTGGCCTTTCCCGCGGCCAACACGCAGCGCTGGGCTCGCCGACATGTGAGTTATGCCCTGTGTGACCGCCTGAGGGAGAGGGGCCGTGCCTGCTCCTCCGTGAGACGCAGAAGGCTCTGCGCACTTTTATCCGCACGGCCTTTCCCGAGGCCATCGCACTCAGCGCGATGCTGATAAAGCAGCCTTCTCCTCTGAAGATCCCACACTGTCGAGTAATACTCCCTCCACGTCCCGCGTGGAGTAGGGTTCGGTACCTGAAAGAGGAGCCGCACAGCAAATGAGAAAAAAAGACACAAGATAATTTTGCAATATTGGGGGACCAGGCGGGCAAGTCCCAAAGGACTTCCTCCCATGCTCAGGCTGCTCCAATCTTTTATTGATCTGGAGTAGCCCTTAAGAAAAGGAAGTTTCAATGACACACAGATCAGCAATTTCCAGGAGTAGACAAAAGTATCTGATTAACTCATCAATAGATTTCCGAGTGTAGGCAGAGTAACTGATTAGCTTATCAATAGATTTCCGAGTGTAGGCAGAGTAACTGATTAACAATAATCAACAAGGATCTACATAACTATCTAAGGAATTAAGGGAACTAAGGTGGGGATGCTTCAACTATTATTACCTAAATTAACTGAATGGTTCCTAGATTAACTGGGTGGTGCACAGCCCTGACCTTTACTAGGACTTTCAATGGCTACTAGCTTTTGGGGGGGGTTTCTGTCTAAACTCAGCTAGTGAAGACAATGAATGGACTCCGGCACCACACCACAGACCCAGCAGGGGACGGTGGTGATGACACCTGCCCGAGGATCGCGGAGTGCCCTGCTTGTGTGGGTCTGCACTCGCCGCTGTTCAGGGAAGGCCCTCTCCCCCATGTAGCTGCTGTGGCACCTTTTAAATCAGGGGTGGGGAACCTCTTCCTGCTGTCAACGTAAAAAACCATTGAAACCTGTAAAGAATTTTTGTGAGTTTATTTGAGCCAAACTGTCGACATATGCCGGGAAGCAGAACCTCAACGAATTGAGATAGTGCTCCGGAGAATGGCAGGGTTACATCCGTATTTATACATGAAATTCATTGGTGACAGATTTAAGGAGGTGGGATTAAGTGAAGCAGGGGGAAACCTCTGTGATAGGATAGCAGGATCAATTAACATGATAATGAAGGAATTTATAGTATCTGTCCTGGCGCCCAGAACATTTGGTTGTGCCCCAGGGGCTCCAGAAAAAAGGGAAGTTACAAGTTACCCAGACATTTCAAGGGTATGTTATCTTAGAGGCAAAAAGGCAAATGGGCTCAGTAAGGATCAAAGTTGATCTTGTCAATGAAGATACTGGCCTAGGACATAACTGCCCACCATAACTGCTTTTAGTTAAAGTTTAATTTCAGACCATCCTTTGTGGTTACTTTAGGTCTCCGAGTCTGCAGAACTGCCATGCAGGCCTCTCCTGAGCTTGTCAGGTCAGCATGTGGCCCCTTTCGTCCACACTGCCCAGACCTTTTGGACATTTATAACATCACTCGTGGGTCATAGAACATTATCATCTTAACAATTAGCTGTTCTATTTGGTCAAACATTTAATTAACTCACCCCAATGCTTGGCAGGGCCAGGCCCACTGATTTCTGGGCCAGATGCTCCCCACCCTGTTTACATGAAAGAGACGCCAGGCTGCGGTGAAGGGACGGAGCGGAAGGTGTGCGCTGTGCACCTGGCTAAGCCGTCGCACAGAAACACTCCCTCCGTGGGGTTGGCATTTCCACGGGGCTGTGCCTGGGGGAGCCCATTCCCACCAGCTTTTTCCTTTGGGCCGGTGTTCTCTGCTGGCTGCTGCCTTCTCTGCTCAGATGCGTCCTCTGCCTGTTGCCCTTTCTTTCTTTCTTTCTTTCTTTCTTTCTTTCTTTCTTTCTTTCTTTCTTCTTCCCTTCCCTTCCCTTCCCTTCCCTTCCCTTCCCTTCCCTTCCCTTCCCTTCCCTTCCCTTCCCTTCCCTTCCCTTCCCTTCTTCTCTCCTCAGAGTATTTATTCACCTCCCGCTCAGCACCTGCCATGAATGCCTTGGGAAGGTCCCTCCCCGCCTGTTAGCCTCTGTCCATGGTGCTGACCCTTCTCGCGTCCCCTCAGCTTCTGTATGGCTTCTGTACATGCGATGACGCTGGGATGATGCTGGGCGCCCTGTCTTTAACGCCCTCCCTTCCTGTGCTATCTTCCACAACTTAAACATCTCCCAGTGGACGGCCTGGGTCCTCCCTGCTGGAAGAGGGAAATACTGCTGCCCGCCAACAGCACTCAATCCTCCGAGCGCCCCCTGGTGCCGGGCAGAGGTGACTGCTCCACGTGTCTGCTGGAGCTGCACCGCTCGGAGCCCCTCCCCACGTGTCACCTCCCACCCTCTTCACTGTCCCCTGCCCCTCTGAACTGGTCTGCGTTGCAAAGTTGGTTATAGTTTTATAGGTAGCATCTTCCCAGCTGCCCGTGTGCTTAGAGGAGTCACGTAAATGTCCACCATGAAGCAGAGAGAGTGTGCGATGAGCCCGCACACCCAGCCCTGGCCCCTCCTGCTGCTTCCCCTCTCCCTCCCCTCCCCCTCCCCCTCCCTGTCACCAAGTGATCCACCGTGGATAGCAGCATTGCTTTGCCGAGAGATTGGACTTGCCTGAGCCTGACCAGCAGTTCTGTCCTGGAGTAAAATCGACGGCAGTGTTTTCAGGGCATCAAATAGCAGTCAGCACTCAGATTGTTCTGTTGTCGTAACTTTCTTTACAGTTGGTTCTTTTTTGATTCAAAGTACAAAGAAGGTCCACAGAGTTGGTGGCTACATCTGTGAAGCCCCTTTTATTTTTATTGTTTTAAATTGTTATTTCTTAATTTGAGAGAGGAAGAGGGAGCGAGAGGAGAAGGAGAGGAGAGGGGAGGGAGAGAGAGAGAGGAGAGAAAGAGAAGGAGAGGGAGGGGAGGGAGGGGAGAGAGAGAGAGAGAGAGCTATTTGTTGTCCCACCTATTGGTGCATCATTGGTTGACTCGGTATGTGCCCCGAGCAGGGATCAAACCCACAACCTTGGTGTATGGCCGACGCTCTAACCCACCGAGCGACCCGGCCAGGGCTGGCCCCTTTTGATCTACAACAGGTTTCTCCTCCCTCTTTTCTCTTTCCTGGCAATTCATTGCGCAATGTATTTATTGTCGAACTGGCTCGCTAGCTCACTGTCCCGCAGAGTTTTTCAGCGTCTGGACTTTGCTGGTGGCCTCCTAAGGACAGCATGCAGCTCCCTATCCCCGTGGCCCAGGCTCCAGACGGAGACTTGGCCCTTCGTGTTCGGTGTTCAGCAAGAGGCGGTGATGTGCCTTCCGTCGGGGGCGCCTTCCAGCGGTGCCCCATTTTACCACGTCAGCAGCACAGCCACTCCACTTCTGAGCAGCGTCCACCTTGACTGTTGGAAAGGTGCTCGATCCCCCCACCCCAGCCACCCCACCCCGGGCCGCGCCTGCCCTTCCTCCCAGGACATGCCGCACAGTGCCGTTCCCACGGTGATATCTGGTCGGTGCCCGTCTCCTGTGGGCCCTACGCTCTGGGGAGCTGGCGACGTGCCTCTTTCTCCATTTGCATCCCAGGGTCCAGCAGGTGCCAGACTCTTCCACATAGAGGGTCCAACCTCAAGAGATGGTGCTGTTTCCAGCCTCAGTTTCCTGAGGAGGAAGCGACAGCTTGAGGGTGGATGGTGGTTGGCCCAACCTAGGATCCCGTGAGACCCAGTGGGCGTTCTTAAGAGCCAGCTGTCCAAAAGGCAGATGTGAATACAATAGACTTGTTACTGTGGCTAATTGGTCCATTAATGTTTTAAGTGGCCATTTAGCTCCAAATTCTAGCTTTCTCTGACTGCATTGTGCGCAGTGCTATGTTAAGCCTGTAGGGGGCGCAGAGGCACAGGTGAGCTCACTGAGATCCTGGAGGGAGGGGTGTGAGCCAGGGGAGGGATAGACTGTGGCCTTCTGTGTTTAAATGAAAATGGACAAGGAAAGACCAACTTCTCCCTAAGTTTGTGGTCTAGGGCCTTACAGCCCCCACTTCCCCTCCCGTCCCCCTACCCCCCGCAGAAGTCCACAGTCACGCCCAGGGCAGAATTCCCATGAAGGCACAGGCGCCGCAGCCTCTCCACGAAAACTATGTTCCCCTTCAAATAACCTTGAGGGAGGCCAGGAAAGCCAGAGGGGTGGGCAGGTGTGTCCTGACTTCTATGGGTGGCCGCCCAGAACAGGGAGGGAGGGGCCTGTGAAAAAGGCCACGTGACTCATGACCCTGGCCTTCAGCAGCTCCAGGTAAAGCTCCAGGAAAACCCACCCCACGTGCTTCCAAGGTGATGGACGCGTCAGGCCTGGCTCCCGCGTGTGGCCAGTGTCCATGACGGAAAAGAGACCGTCTTCCTCCTCTATTCATTGTTTACCCCTGTCCCCTTCCAAAGCTTTAGGGCAGAGGTGGGGAATGTCCCGCCCGCGGGCCAGATGAGGCCCGAGAAATCATTGGGCCTGGCCCTGCCAAGGCATTGGGGTGAGTTAATTAAATGTTTGACCAAATAGAGCAGGCTCATTTTTAACTTGATAATTTTGTATGGCCCGAGAATGATGCCATAAATATCCAAGTGGCTGTGGGCAGAAAAAAGGTTCCCACCCCTGCTTTAAAGCAACGTAAAATTCAAAGACCTACATGAGGCAGGCGTGGAAAAGACAAAGGTCACAGTGAGCGTGGAGTGGCGGTGCTGTAGACAGACGTCGTGGGTCCCGCGCCCCAGCAGCAGACCTGGTGTCCGGGTCACCCCAGGCGGAGTGCTCCCTGCTAACAGGTTAGCCTGTCATTGTGTGACCCGTTCGCTATGGGAAATAGAATTTGTAAACGATTATTTGTTCCTTTTTACCAGTTATATACGTAATAAGTGGTTACCACTCGAAACCTGAACACTAGACACAAAGGTAGACACACACAATTGCCAAGACCACTGCTATCCGTGTGGGGTGTCCTGCCCCTTGGGTTCCCCGTGCGACCGTGCCTTGCATGAAGCAGGGCCACCGGGGGCAGTGGCAGCTCTGCACCTCCCTCTTCTTTCCCATCGGTGCCTCATGGGCCAGTCCTCCTCCAACTAGGGAGCAATGCGCCGGCCCCGCCTGTGACCGCGGCCACTTTTAGGCAATGAAAAGTGCCATGTCCACTTTTTGTATTTAAATTTTTAAATATTGTGGTAAAATACACTTTGGTTTGATCATAAATTGAGTTCCTAGCTGCAGATGTATGTAAACCATGCACATGGGCCATCCACCTTCTAGAACTTTCCTACTCACAGGAAGTCCAGCAGCTGCCACTGTCCTGAACTCGTTTCTCTAAGTCCAATCCCCGTGCGCTCCTGATTCAGCCCATTCCATTAATGGAGACAGATTTCAATACCACGCACAGTGGCCCACCTGGACAGTTTCATATTCCAGCTTGGCATTTGCCACCAGCACGTGCCCAGCTCCTCCCCTGCCATTGCTGGTGACCATGCTGAGCGTGCACTCACGTTAATGTGCATCTCAAGGAAACATTCTTTAGAAAGCAGCTGAGTGCCAAGCCTGCCACCAGCCGAGTTACACAGTTAACGCCAACGCCAACTGGGCAGTGTTTGTCCTTTGCCTCCCTGTTACATGTAATGAGGGAGAGGTGGACTGGGTGCAGGTTCTGTGAGACCAAAGTTGGCAGCCCACCTGGGCAGGGCTCCTGGCACCAGGTGGCAGCTCAGCTCAGCACCTCATTTAGCCAGTGAGCAGTGCACACACTCAGCTGTCAGACCACGGCCCCTGGTTGGAAAGAGAACACATTTTACTGTTCCCTTGTTGCTCCCAGTGAAATAGACAGGAAGCTGACATAAGATTAAGCCTGTGGCCCCCAGGTGGAGGCCCAAATGAGGACAGAATAAAATAATAAACTCCTTCTGAGTATATCTGAGTCATTGCAAACACCTGAGAGTTGGTCTCCAGAAATTAAATGAACTATATGCTCTCTAAACAAAAGAGACACAGTAAATTCCTCATTATGATGATGGTTATGGAGGTAGTGGTGATGAAGATGATAATGATGATGATGGTGGTGATGATGGTGGTGATGATTGTGTTGATGATAATGGTGATGATAGTGGTGGTGATTAGCTTAGCTCTTTTTTAATAAATATATTTTTATTATTGATTTCAGAGAAGGGAGAGGGAGAGAGAGAAACATCAATGATGAGAGAGAATCATCGATCAGCTGCTTCCTGCACACCCCACACTGGGGACCAAGCCTGTAACCCGGCACATGCCTGACCGGGCATCGAACCGTGACCTCCTGGTTCATAGGTCCAATGCTCAACCGCTGAGCCACACTGGCCGGGCAGCTCTTTTTTTTATAATGTGAAAGTATCTTTCACTCTTACATTTGAAGGACATGCTCACTGGATATAGATCTCTGAGTTAAACATTATTCCTTTGAACACTTCAAATATGTCATTCATATGCATGTTATCAAATATGTAATTGCATATATTACACCAAATAGGTCATTCTTGTGAGATACTCACATGTCTGTGACCTCTGCTTTTCTTAAGAAGTCAGCGCCCACTCGTCCCTGTTGCTCTGCGTATAATCTCTGCTGCTGAGACCGTCCTCACTTTGTTCTCAGCATTTGGACTGTGAGTGCCGTTGTGCCCACTCTCGTGTTTATTCTTGGAGTTTCCTGAGCGCCTTGAATCTCTAAGCTGATGTTCTGCACCTGTTTGGGAGGTTTGGGGGGCTTTCTTTTTTTGGCCCCATTCTCTCCTCCCCTCTTGGATTCCAGTGGCAGCGTCATGTCTGGCACTACCTGCAGGCCCTGGGTTCCATCCTATCTTTCCCGCCTCGTCGCTCTGTCCTCCCGTCACAGGACCATCTGCCTTCAGGCTCACGAGCCCTTTCTTGTCCCCCAGCCACACTCACCGACCTGTGTGGGAGGCTTCCCATTTCAGGGTGTTCCTGTCACCCCCAGAATCGCCTGTTTCTCACTGGGTTTGCTGGGTGCTGCTGCTCTGCCTGTGTTTATAGCATCTTCTTGCTGTCCTTGTCCCTCCCTGATGTTGACTCCTTTTGTCTTGATTGCATGTCCCGTTTTTCTGATTCTCATATGTCTGTTGCTGTTGCTGCTCCCTGGACACCGTGTGTGTGGGACTGAGAATGTGTCACCTCCCCCTGAACGGAGTTGAGTGCTTGCTTTTTGCCTGGAAGCAGTGCAATTCTTGGAGGACGCTTTGATTTGCGTCCTGTCGGGCGCTTAACTTTTCAGGGAGATGAAGCTGCTCAGGCTCCTCCCCTGGCACGTAATTCCAGCTGTTTTATCCAAGGCCCTACTTCCATCCTCCTCCTCGGTCCATGAGTTTGGTCATAGGTCCTTCATGGGTCCACGTCCATTTTCACTGTTTAAAGACACTGAGCCTTGGTGTAACCGGACAGTCACGTGGGACTCAGATTCAACAAACAACACGTGTTTCTGCACACCGCCTGTGCCTGTCGTCAGCGGGAGGGTTGCTGTAGGAGGCCCTGTGTGTGCCCTCTAGGAGCATGGATTCAGCACTTCCTGGAGGACCCA